TACTTAAGTACATTTTTTGAGTACTTTCTCCACCACTGGGGAAAACAAAGTTTCACCATCTAATGCACATGTGTCAAACTCCAGTCCTGGAGGGCCACTGCCCTGCAATTTTTATATGTGCCTCTGCTGCACCACACCTGAATAGAATAATTAGGGCATTAGCAAGACTCTGGAGAACTTATCTACACAAGAAGGAGGTAATTAAGCCATTTCATTCCAGTGTTTTGTACTTGTGGCACATCTAAAAACTGCAGTACAGTGGCCCTTGAGCACTGGTCTTTGACACCCCTGGTATAATGTGTGCATCATCATACATTCTTCAATGTCACTGTTTCTTTTTTCAGTGACATTTTAATTTTCAATGCCAAATCAGTGTTAGCTGTCACAGTTTTAGCTCCATATATATATGAGGAACCATTGGCAGCTGACACATACATGGGATGATTGGTACCCCAGCCCTGAGCCTTTGATATATCAACTTTTAGACAGATATAACAAAGGCAGAGATATAGGCTGGTGCAGCGACAACTTGAAGAACCTGTTCAAATTGTTTTAGTCCTGGTAAAAATAATTAGCTTTTTTTATCTTGTACATGAGGTTTCCATTACCTGTGGCACAAGTTTTCCCACTCTTTGAGTTATGGGCTCATTTAATACTACTTCCACCTTGCATACATCCTTCTGAGCAGGAACATGGAACTGCAGATCCTCTTCCTGAAGGTAGATTGACTGACCTCGTTTCACCTTTAAACCTTTATTGACTTTTACTAGTGAACAAAGAGATTTGCAGGTCAGTAAAAGCAGAAGCACCACAAGCAAGGAGAAGGCCAGTGTGTGACCTGGAAAACCCATCGCTTTCAGTCCCAAGGCGTTACAGGCAGGATATCTAGCAGCCTCCAGATGAAAGCTGGGTCTCTGTCACCAACGCACTCCAGTCAGAATTTGTCTGGGATTTGCTCAACTTTACATTTGATAGCATGACAAGCTGCGGCTATTATTGGGTCACATGGTCAGTGGGGATCTGTGGAAAACACAACATTTCAGGCTAAGGCATTTCATAAATAAGCAAAAAAGTATTCAACACATCAAGAAAACTAATTTGTTCTCAAGTAGTTTACCATTTCAACTCTTCCTGCTTTATATTTGTGTATAAATCTTTTAATACTCATTTAATAACTCATAAAAAATATGATTTTTTGATATTTATTAAAACTGTCACTATGTTACAGTATAATATAATCACAATATAATCTGTGGGAAAAAAATTAGCACTGCCTTATACCAGTGCTCCCAATGTTAACTATTGAAATACACAGCTCCATCAGAAACAACCAGTCAGAGCCAGGAGGAGGGTTTTAGCACTGTCAGTCACTCCCATATGCACGCTGCTCACATCCTACCTGCTCTCTGCTCAGCTACAACTGGTTCACCTGAACATACTATGAATGCTCAGACTAGTTAGTGTGATAGCTAATAAAAAAATTTCTTGGATTGGTTCTTTGTTTCTCTGCCTTAATTAACATATTAAGGCAGAGTGCATAAGGGTGATTGACAGCACTAAGACCCTTCTCTTGTCTGTGACTGATAATTTTGACTGGGAGCGGTCCATTCCTTCAGGTGTTAATATACCACAGGGTGGAGGTGGAGGAGCGCAAGCTTTTCACAGATTAGCTGTTTCATGCTATCATAACATGACTGTTTTAACAAATATGGAAAAAAACATATATTTGTAAAAGTTTCATACCATATATTAAACCCTGGCTTACAAGTTTCTTATTTTTAATTTTAGTTGAAGTTTTTAATGAGTTATGCAGATAAACAGTCATGAGGACGACATGTAAATGTCTTTTTGTTTCTTAATTATTTTTATTTGTCATGATCCACCTGTTCGAGCTGTTTGAGTTTTGTTTTTAATCAGTTTTAATGAGATGCTTTTAGAGTCATTATCATTGGGTACAGCTGCTTGGTATTACAGTGATCCCTCGCGATCTCACTGCTTCGCGAATTTTTTTGTGCAGTTTTTTTTTCACAGTGCAATGTGTTCTGCATCCTGATTGGCTAAACCGTCTCCGACCTCCTTCTCTACCTGTGTGCCAATAACATTACGGTATTTAAATATAAGTAATACAGATTGGCCATTCAGATGAAAGCTGAAAACTTTGAATGCATGTTGGAAAAAACTGTGGCCAGAATCAACGCAAAACCCGACCGGAGGCTCGCTTGACGAGATCCATCGTTCTGCCGTAGATACAGCTGTGAATCTCATGGGGCAGGTTGGAGGAGACGCTTTAATGGATCACATTAAGGCTGGATTGATGAACACGCACATCTGCTGACCTGAAAACAGGTTTTGTTCTTTGGTTTAAATATAGAGTATTTAATTATGCTGTATAATCCCTGCCAGCATGCCTAGGTGGGCCCCATATGGGGGAAAGGTGGGCAGACATATGGGTCCCACATGGGTTTGTCCGCGGGTTCCACGGTGGCCCCACATGGGTTTGGGTGGGCCCACATGAGAGAAACCATGTGGGCCCACCACCATGTAGGGCCCATGTAGGGTCCATGGGCAAACCCATGTGGGACCGCCGTGGAACCCGTGGACAAACCCATATGGGACCCATCTGGTCTGCCCTCCTTTTCCCCATATGGGGCCCACCTAGGCAGGGAATAATTGTAAAAACTAAAGGTAACTACTTCGCGGTTTTCACTTATCGCGGGTTATTTTCGGAACACAACCCCTGCGAAAAACAAGGGATCACTGTACTTTCAAACAACTGAAAGTAATACAATTCTTTGTATTACTGTTCGTATTGAGTTCCTTACTTCTTCCTTATGTCCTTTTATGTGCATAGTTAGATCTTCTGTGTTTCCATTCAGGTTCTCTTGTGCATATTACCTTCCCTCAGCTCCCTACCTGCTCTGCATCTTGTTTATTGGACTTATATGATTTCCATCTCACTCATCATATCTCAAAAAAACTCCTTAGTTTCTTTCTCTCGCTGTTGGATTCTACAGTTGCCCCTGTCCAGTCTGTGTTTTTCCTTCATGTTTTGTGGTAATAATAACAATCATAAACTGTTGCAAAACAGCCAAATGCAAAAAAGCATTTGATTAGAGCACTGCCTTTACATGGAGAATCATTATTAATCATCTGAAAATGGACTTTCTAACATCATAAATAAGACTAGTTCAAGACAAGAGGGAAAGAAAACAGAGCTTGTTTTTCTCAGAGGAAACTCATTTAAAGGGAGTTTTGAGGCATGTTCTACATCTCTATTAGGAAACTCTGTTCCCTGCTGAGCCAGGAAATATGTACATGAACAAGATGTGGCATCACCCTGAGGCTAAGCACTCATCCATGTAATGACATGATGTTTGCTGGTGACCTCTGACATTCAGAAAGTCAGCAGGGGATAAATGTCCTACAAAAACATCGGTAACACTTTATTTGATGGGGTGTGCATAAGACTGGCATGACACTGTCATAATCATGATAAAACATCTGTCGTGAACATGACAGATGTTTTATGAATGTCTATGATAGTTGTCATGAAGTGTCATTTGATAAATAATGACACTTTTAATGCAAAATTGCATTAAAAGTCCCAACTTTGTATGATTTTGTAAATAATGACATTTTAATGCAAAGTTGGCATTTTAATGGACTTTCAATGAATTTCTACAGCAACTTTGCATTAAAATTGTCATTACTTACCGAATTACACTTCATGACATCAGTCATAGACATTCATAAAGACTCCTTCATGTTCACGACAGATGTTATGTCATCTTTATGACAGTGTCATGTCAGTCTTATGCACACCCCGTCAAATAAAGTGTTACCAAAACGTCAGTAATGACCTTATGGGGCTTATATTGGAAATAATTTTAATGTAAAATGTTTTAATATAATGATGGTCTAATTTCTGCTAATATTATCATAATCATTCTATTTTTTCTTTCTTGTTTCTCCTTTTCCTGGTAGCATAGAAAGGGTTCCATTTCATCACTTTTACTTTGAGGAAGTTTACTGAGCTGTTTAACTCTAACAGGCTTCAGATTTTATTCTTCTGCATTCTTTTACACTTTAACAGAACACCTTCCTGGACCTCCCACCCACAGAAAGCAGCCTGTAATCAGCCTCGGAGCTGAGGAGCATGTTGCAGCCTGTTCACTCAGACAATGCTTGTGTTTTAGGAGTTGAAAAGATCTTGTTTAAAAGTGCCAAGACGGGGTTTCAGATGGTTCTGAGCAGCAGTGTGCATCTGACTTCAGCAAAATATCAGCACTACCTGATTTCTTCACCCCTGTGAATTATGTTGTGATTCAATCCATTTGATTTTGTAAGTTCATCTGGTTTGACCTGAGAATACCCTTATACATAGTATACCGTAAAAAATATTCACACCCATGAAATAGTTCACATTTTCTCACCTTACACTACAAACTTCACTGTATTTTATTTAGATTTTACCTGACAGATAGACTGAGGGGAAGCAAATGAGTAAATAGTTTTTAATATTTTTAGAAACAAAAATCTAAAAAGCATGGCATCTAGTTGTACTCAACCTTGTTTAATCTAGTAATTTAGTAGTTTCCATTTAGTCAAAGCAACTGATTGCACTGTATACTCCTGCATTCACTATTCTGGAGACATCACTGCTAAAACTCACCCCACAGTAAAACTCAAAGTTGGGCAAAAGAGTAGTCTTTGGAGCTCAGCCTCTGAGAAAGTTAGATTTTGCTAACTTTCTGACATACCAAAGAATTAATTCAAAATTTTGATTGAGGCATGTTGGAGCAAGGATGCCTGCAGGACAGTGGTGCTTGAGGACTGGAGTTGCAGACCACTGATCTATGTGGACAAATCAAGTGACTACAAGGCACTGCTCAAAGTCTGTGAAGAGGAGAATTTTAGACATAAACTGAAAATAATTTTTTTTAATTGGTTTCTTGCAGATGTCCTACTTCAATGTTCTTGAGAAGACTTACTATAATTTATAACAACCAGAGTCAAAGGCAATGGGAAGACAGATGGAGCTAAATCCAAGACAATCCTGGAGGAAAACCTGTTAGAGGCTGCAAAAGACCTGAGTGGGGTAAAGGTTTACCTTCTACCAGGACAAACACCCTGAGCATGCAGCCAGTCTATGTATAAATATAGTTCAGACTTAGGATGTGCAAAACTAGTAGAGACCAACCCCAAAAGAACTGCAGAGTAAGATTATTCAAATGACACAGGGGAACAAAACGGAAACATTTCTTACACTTCAATTCAAAATTTGAATTTCCATTTCACAAATATGCAGTGTTCTATCACATAAAGTCTTCATAGAAGACATTTGTGGCTGCAACAAGAAGAATATCAGAAATAGTCTTCTGATTAAACCACAAACAATCCCATTTTTAATAGATGAGAAGAGACGACATTGCAGCAAAACCAGCTCCTAAAAAGAAACGATGTGGTCTGATGGTAGAAAATGACGAGTTAGGACAGAGCCCTGACTCTAAAAACAGCCAGCACCTTAATGAAGAGCTGGAGCCCTGACCAAGAGCCAGAGGTTACCAGTCAACAGCAATACTTTTTGTCAGATATGCCGTGAAATGACAACCAGCACCAAACTGGGAAAATTTTCACATCTGAGTAAATAGCTTACTCATTCTTTCACTGATACAGTCAGTTCATATCCACTTACTGTGGAAAAATGCAACGTGCTCTTTGATCTCTCAATAAAGATCTGCGTGGCCCAGTGACTGATGACCATCCCATTGGGAAGGCCTTAGATGGAGAAAAGAGTTCTGGGAAAGGTCCTGATGTTAACCAAAGCATTAACAAGACTTAAGCCCATCTACTTCCTGTCAAGTTGGACAATGAGTCTTCTCATGTCAAAGTAAAGACAAGCGAAGACAATGCCCCCATCAGAAAGGCTTGGACAGTTATTCCCCTACTGGCCTGTCAATAAGCAGAATGTTCAGTGTCTGTTGAGACACTGAACATTCTAACAGCAGTCTAACAGCAGATACTGCTTTAAACCCATAGCAGAACAAAGTGCTCTCCCTAATCCAAACCCAAACCAAACATTTGTCTTAACCCAATGGAGCAGCACTTTGCTCTAGCCGACTTAAAAAGGGTCATTACAAAGGCTTTCACAATTTCTTTTCTGCTGGTTTTGAAAAATGTCATGATGTGTCCCATTTGTTACACAATAACAATATACCCTGAAATGACATAATGAAGATGAACTTGGATAGGCTGAGAATTCTAACAAATCCAGCTCTCAAAATCCAATATGGCTTTCATTCACATTAGCCTGGTGACAATCAACTGATTGTTCTACGCTTCGCTTCATCCAGAAGTTCTCGGCTATTGAGGAACAATTTCAGCTGGAGGCATTGACAATGTTGAAGTTTGAAACAGCTGGATCTGATTTTTCTCAATTGCTAATGTTTAGTCGTGACATATGTAATGCAACTAACCAGAAGAAGCTGCGAAATTTGATGTGCTGTAAACAACTTTGTGTGAATAGGGTCACAACATCTTTACCAGTAATAAAATGTCTTAAATGTTCCTCTTACTCTGACTTTAATTGCTCAGTATTTGGAAACATGGGTAGCTCTGTACATAGACATTCTGCAGGGATAGCAGTTATTAGGTGCCGAGATGTGACAAGCCTTAAAAATGTTTTAAGTAAAGTGCATCTATATTTACCACATATCATATATTAGAAAGTACAGGCATATTTGAACAGTTAGTTAGAAACTCAGTCTACTGTAACCATTGTTAATGGAATGGAATGGAATGGAATGTTTCATGCAACAAACAGCTCTGCTCCATAGCATACATCTAGTCACTGCATCTTTTAATTTCAGTAATGACAGGGTCCTCAGAGCTCTGCACAGTTCTAAGAAGAACATCCGGTGGGGAGAAAGAAAGCATTCTGCTGAAAACACAAGCTAGTGTTTGGCTGTCGTCCAGCAGCATGGAGCTTAGTGTGCAACAAAGAGACTGAAAAGGCTCCCAAATATTCCCACATTCCCACAACCAGAGCCCAGTGGCTCTGGTGTTCCCAGAAGTTCTTTGGAAAGCTTTAAAACGCTTACTTCTTTGAATGCACCACATTTGGTGGCATAGTGTCCTATAATTAAAAGCAAGATCATTACCATTGTGCATCTCGGCATTTTCATCATTCCTTCACAGGAACCTAGGCGTAAATGCATATTTTTAAAGAGCAGATTTAGTGATTAGGAAGAGTTGAATATCTAGTTCTATATACTAAAATTAAATGAACAAAAAAAAGCATCTAGTGCAATGTTCTGAGCCGCAAACATGTAGGCATGTTCTTACCTGAACATCTGATCCTTTCTCCACTACCAGCTTCTTGCCGTGTGTTTTCAGCTACAACTGTTTCAGTAACTCCACCTCTGAGAGAGTAAGATTACTAAAGAGGGGAGGGACAGGAAAAGCAATGGATGGATTGTTTGTCCTGTTGCTTCTGTGGGATCAGATATAAGAGGCTTAGCACTGTACCAATTTAACACTTGAACAGAGACAATGACATATTGCAAAGATTGCATGATTTCTACATGCATTTTACTGTTGCCAACAGAAAAAGCTTACAAAAGAAACAAATTCTTCTTCAACATCTTCTCGCCTTGTGTCCACATTCTGTCCATTTCAAACCCAAAGTTCAGCTTATTTCATTGTGATTGGTAACAGTCCTACACAAAATTTAAAAAAAAATGTGTGTGGAGGATTAAATATTTTAAGAGACCTGAAAAATTTTGTATTTTCCCCCTTTACCTTGGTTCCTCTAAATAAAATCCAGAGTAGAAATCTACCTTCAGAAGTCACCTAGCAGGTATATAATTGAATCTAAATGCAACTACTCTGTGGAGACTTCAGAAGTAAAGAACATAGGCAGATGTGTCTCCAGAGACATCTGGAGACACAAACCACTGACTCTCTTTCCTGCCGACGTAGGAGCGGCACTGAACAGGATTAAAATTCAGAAGCCTAAAATGTGTAGATGGGCACAACAATTTTTATTCCATTTTAAATTATTTTTTATTTTTTAGCTATTTTTTTGTATTTGTCTTCAATAGCTTCTAGGTCATGTGACTTATTGACTCAAAATCAGTGTGAAAGTGTTCTACTGGACTGTATAGACGAGATGAGGCACACTCATTTTTATTCCAGTTTAACTTTCTTTTTTGGCCGGCTGTTCTCTACCCCCTCAGGCACTCTGAGGTTCACTTAGGGACCATCAACAAATTTCCGAACCAAACACTCCTGACATACTAATTGTGACCAACTGACACAAAAAAGTGGTAATTCATGCTATTACATGAGACACATTATTCTCTGTTAAATTTTGAAGTCATATTCAATATTTTATAACATTTTAATATTAAATAATATAATGTTTTCTTCAATAACTTCTATGTCATGTGACCTATGGTCTAAAAATCAGCGTCAAATAGTTCTATGAGGCACACTGATTCCTATTCGATTTGAATCCTTTTTCTAGTTTTTAGGTATTTTTATATTTAAAAATTACTTCAATTGCTTCCAAGTCATGTTACCTAATTACTCAAAATCAGTCTGAAATTCTTCTACTAGACTGGAGAGATCAGGTGCACTCATTTTTATTCCGTTTTGACCCCTTTTTTATTTTTTAGGTAATTTTATATTTTAAAAATATATTTATTTATTTTTTCTTCACCTCTCAATAGGCTACTATCTATCGTGGTGGATGGGTTTGAGGAGTTATGCTTTCAGGGACTTCATACCCCATATAGGGTGACCCAAGGCAGGCAAATTCTAGGTGGTAAGCCAGACAAAGTGCAGCCCAAAGACCCCTTATGAAGAGTACAATCAATGGATGCAGTGTTCCTTTGCCTGGATGCAGATCACCAGGGCCTCACTCTGAAGCCAGGCCTGGAGGTGGGGCACCTTGGCAAGCACCTGGTGCCCGGGCTTTAACCCATGGAGCCTGGCCAGGCTCAGCCCGAAGTGGAATATGGGTTCACCTTCCAATGGACTCACCACCAGAGGGAAGGGCCAAAAGGGATGGGTGCAATGTGAGATGTTAAAAAGCCGAGGGCAGGGACCTAGGCAATCTGCACAGAAGCTTTCTCACTGGGCATGGAATGTCACCTCTCTGTTGGGGAAACAGCCTGAGGTGGTGTGTGAGGTTCAGAGGTTCCAACTAGAAATAGTTGGTCTCATCTCAGCGCATGACTTGAGTTCTGGAACCAGTTTTCTTGAGAGGAATTGGACACGCTTTCAGTCTAAAGTTGCCCCTGGTGAGAAGCCAGGGGCAGAAGGAGTGGGCATACTTGCTATACAAATAAAATTTGATTTGATTTTTTCATTTGGGGGAGTCTGAGGCCA